CATGTCCCATAGAGAATACACGCAAAATGTGAACATTGACATGCCTCCTTTAATCGCAAATATACGCCATGATGCTTTTGTCAAAATGAACAATTGTGATGACTTCATTTGTAGAAAATTGTCTCAGCTAGAACATTTCAAAATTTGGAAGAAAATCAATCAACATTTACAGAGATACCATCAATTTTCTATAAATATGCTGACGTCATAATATGCGAATTGGTATTTTGAGTTCGGAGGCCATCATGATGACGTCATGAGTTACTTGAAGGTCAAATGAGACATGAAACAATATCTCCGAATCATACTCTATCAAAATATGAAACAAAATTGGGGTCACCTTGCATCCTAAAGAGCTACAATGGATTTTGTATAGGCATGTTTTTGCCCATATATGCTATGTATTACAAGAGCTCGCGCGCACTGAAATTTATGTTAAACGGTCGATTATTCCGTTACTAATAGTCATAAAGAGACAAACATGGTATCAATTTGTTTGTAAAAATATGTGGAATATTATGAAAGACCAACAAATGGGGATTCTATGTTGTGTAATAGTTTAACGCGCGAAAACGCGCGCGCATGCACGTGTGCGCGATTTTTTATAAAATGCTTAGAATGGCCTAAAACGTATGCAAAATGATTTTGAGACGATTTTGAGCATTTTAAAATTTTGCGCGCGCATTGACGCGCGGACGTACGCGCACGCGCGCGTTATTTGACCTGAAATTAACCGGACGGATATTGACCTTGATCATGATAAATATGAATGAGAAATAGCTTTTGGTTATGAAGATATGATCATGAGTTGATTTTCGTAAAGTTTTACAAAATGGCGCCTAGATGACGTCATCAGTAAAGGTCAATATGTTGAAAACGTTATTGTGCTTTGTACATATGCCTTTACATATATGTGCCAAATTTCAAGGATTTTAATCTAGCCATTTTCGTGTTATCTTGTTCACAAAAAAGTGGTTAGAAATAAGAAAAATATTTAATAAATAAATAAAGGCAATTCTAACGAAATTATAAGGTGGTCTGTACGATATACAGCCCACCTGATAATAAATAAATAAAGGCAATTCTAACGAAATTATAAGGTGGTCTGTACGTTATACAGCCCACCTGATAAAGAAAGAAAATTCTGACGAAAACAATAGGTAGTCTGTCGAAGACAGACCACCTAATAATAATAAAGAAAATCCTTCAAAGTTCTAGAAAATGTGCAATTTCAACTTTCAATTGAAAATTCTGACATGATCCCAACATCTGATCAAAAAACAAAGTACACCGGTTTTGTAGCCCATGGTCTCAGCTATAACATACCAAAAGTTGGGATAAAATAGAGCACGAACAAGCGAGATAGTGCTCAAAGATGAGTGTCATGTAGATTCACGATGTGAACGAAATTCACCTTCCATAGACAATACACGCAAATGAAGAAAATTCTGACATGTCGCCTTTAATTGAAATTTTCACCATGATGACGTCATCAAAATGAAAAACAATGGGCACTGATCTTGTAGAGAATTGTCTCAGCTACAACATACCTAAGTTTGGAAGTAAATCAATCAATATTTACAGAGATACAATCAATTTGCCATACATATGATGACGTCATAATATGCAAATTCGTTTTTTGAGTTCCAAGGCCATTATGATGATGTCACGATATATATAATGGCCAAATGAGACCTAAAATCATATCTCCAACTCATATTCTATCCAAATATGAGAAAAAATTGGGGGTTTTGTGGACTTCCTAAAGAGCTATAATGGAGTTTGTATAGGCATGTTTTTGCCCATATATGCTATGTATTACAAGATCACGCGCGTACGGACATGTATTTTAAACGGACGCTAATTCCGTCAATAATGGTCATGGAAAGCTAAACATGGTATCAAATTGTTCGGAAAAAGATAAGGAATACCCTCGTCAAAAAGACGTACAGAAAATTATTCTTCGTTTGGCCGCTACGAACGAAAACGCGCAAAAATGCGTGTTTTGCGTGATTTTTATGAAATGCTTAAAATGGCCTGAAACGTATCCAAAATGAATTTGAGGCGATTTGGAGCATTTTGAAATTTGCGCGCGCACTGACGCGCGGACGTACGCGCACGCGCGCTTTTTTTGACCTGAAATTGACCGGACTGATATTGACCTTGATCATGGTAAATATGAATGAGAAATGATTTTCAGTTATGAAGTTATGATCATTTGAAATTTTCCAAAAAAAACACAAAATGGCGCCTGGATGACGTCATGAAGACTTGATGACCTTGAAAAGGTTCCTGTCACGTCTTATGGCAATGACCTATGACTGTGCCAAAATTGAAAGAAATTGGACGGTTCAATTTTGAGTTATCGTGCACACAAAAAAGTGGAAGAAATAAAAATAAAGAAACTAGATTTGTAATACTTGTTTGGAACAAGTATAGGTGGGCTGATCCAACAAAAAATTGAGACAAAATAAAGGGTACATTTGAGATAGCTTTTTGTCTCATCTACAACATACTCGAAGTTCAGCGTAAACGAAGCTAAAACGACGTAGATATTGCTCGCGAAAGACGGGAATGTAGAATAGAGTTTTGAGAAAAAGTCATATCCCATAGAGAATACACGCAAAATGTAAAAAATTTACATGCCTCCTTTAATCGCAAAAATACGCCATGCCTTTGTCAAAATGAAAAATAATAGCAATTGCCTTTGTAGAGAATTGTCTCAGCTAGAACATATCAAAATTTGGAAGAAAATCAATCAATATTTACAGAGATACAATCAATTTTCCATAAATATGCTGACGTCATAATATGCAAATTGGAATTTTGAGTTCGGAGGCCATTGTGATGACGTCATGAGTTAATTGAGGGTCGAATGAGACATGAAACAATATCTCCGAATCATACTCTATTAAAATATGAAAACAAATTGGGGTCACCTTGCATCCTAAAGAGCTACAATGGATTTTGTATAGGCATGTTTTTGCCCATATTTGCTATGTATTACAAGAGCTCGCGCGCACGGAAATTTTTGTTAAACGGTCGATCAATCCGTTATTAATAGTCATAAAGAGACAAACGTGGTATCAATTTGTTTGTAAATATATGTGGTATATTATGAAAGAAAAAAAAAAGCAATTCAATGTTGTGCAAAAGTTTTACGCGCGAAAACGCGCGCGCATGCTCGTACGCGCGATTTTTTATAAAATGCTTAGAATGGCCTAAAACGTATGCAAAATGATTTTCAGACGATTTTGAGCATTTCAAAATTTTGCGCGCGCATTGACGCGCGGACGTACGCGCAGGCGCGCGTTATTTGACCTTTTATTGACCGGACGGATATTGACCTTAATCATGATAAATATGAACGAGAAATACTTTTTGGTTATGAAGATATGATCATGAGTTGATTTTCGTAAAATTTTACAAAATGGCGCCTAGATGACGTCATCAGTGAAGGTCAATGTTGAAAACGTTATTGTGCTTTGTACATATGTCTATACATATGTGTGCCAAATTTCTAGGCATTTGATTGAGCCATTTCCAAGTTATCTTGTTCACAAAAAAGTGGTTAGAAATAAGAAAAATATATAACTAGATTTGTAATACTTGTTTGGTACAAGTATAGGTGGGCTGGTCCAGCTAACATTTTAGACAAAATGAAGGGCACATTTGAGATAGCTAATTGTCTCAGCTACATCATACTCGAAGTTCAGCGTAAATGAAGCTAAAATGACGTAGATGTTGCCCGCGAAAGACGGGAATGTAGAATCGAGTTTTGAGAAAAAGTCATGTCCCATAGAGAATACACGCAAAATGTGAAAAATTGACATGCCTCCTTTAATCGCAAAAATACGCCATGATACCTTTGTCAAAATGAAGAATAGTACTGACTGCATTTGTAGAAATTTGTCTCAGCTAGAACATATTAAAATTTGGAAGAAAATTGATCAATATTTACAGAGATACAATCAATTTTCCATAAATATGCTGACGTCATAATATGCAAATTGGAATTTTGAGTTCGGAGGCCATTATGATGACGTCATGAGTTAATTGAGGGTCAAATGAGACATGAAACAATATTTCCGAATCATACTCTTTTAAAATATGAAAACAAATTGGGGTCACCTTGCATCCTAAAGAGCTACAATGGATTTTGTATAGGCGTGTTTTTGCCCATATATGCTATGTATTACAAGAGCTCGCGCGCATGGAGATTTATGTTAAACGGTCGATCATTCCGTTATTAATAGTCATAAAGAGACAAACATGGTATCAATATGTTTGTAAATATATGTGGTATATTATGAAAGAAAAAAAAAAAGGCAATTCAATGTTGTGCAAAAGTTTTACGCGCGAAAACGCGCGCGCATGCTCGTACGCGCGATTTTTTATAAAATGCTTAGAATGGCCTAAAACGTATGCAAAATGATTTTCAGACGATTTTGAGCATTTCAAATTTTTGCGCGCGCATTGACGCGCGGACGTACGCGCACGCGCGCGTTATTTGACCTTTTATTGACCGGACGGATATTGACCTTGATCATGATAAATATGAACGAGAAATACCTTTTGGTTATGAAGATATGATCATGAGTTGATTTTCGTAAAATTTTACAAAATGGCGCCTAGATGACGTCATCAGTGAAGGTCAATGTTGAAAACGTTATTGTGCTTTGTACATATGTCTATACATATGTGTGCCAAATTTCTAGGCATTTGATTGAGCCATTTCCAAGTTATCTTGTTCACAAAAAAGTGGTTAGAAATAAGAAAAATATATAATAATAAATAAAGGCAATTCTAACGAAATTATAAGGTGGTCTGTACGTTATACAGCCCACCTGATAATAAATAAATAAAGGCAATTCTAACGAAATTATAAGGTGGTCTGTACGTTATACAGCCCACCTGATAATAAATAATAAATAATAATAATAAAGGCAATTTTAACAAAATTATAAGGTGGTCTGTATTAGATACAGCCCACCTAAATATCTTATTTCATCAAAACTTCAACAAATCATTCCCTTTATTTGCAGTTGAATATATTGCAAGCGGTACCATAAAACTGTCGGTCCCCAGAAGCATGGTTATCTCGATATTACCAATATTCCATTAAAAAACATCAGCTACCCGGATACACATCTCTCGGTGTACTCAACCAACCAATCATACCTTCCAGCATAATCACGCGGCGGGAGGCAGTATAATCGCTCTGCCCGAAGGTATGTGGTGTCCCTCAAGGAAGTCTCATAGGTCCCTTTTATGATTAGCCAAATCCAGTTGAACGGCGATCCGACATTTATTCTGGCGAAAATAGTTTTGCACGGGCTTCATTTCGTCAAAAGCTACAATTATTGTCTTATAGGTTAGGTTAGGTTAAGGGTTCAATCAATTTAGGATTGTAGTTAGGCATTTGGTTAGTGTAGGAAAGTACATCGGAACAACAGTAGTCGACGGAGAATATACTGATATCCTACAAACATTCATCATGGTCACACCTTGGAGTAGGTCCATACATGGTCACACACTTGACACTAGTTCACACACGATGATCTCTTCCTTTGAAACCGTGCAGCGATGTCTGTCCTTTTTCCTAAGCCGACTCCATTCACTCCTCGCCTCCCGTTTCCTCCGATGTATGTCAAACGTCACGAACCGTTCGGGCGCGAAGATGCGTTGATAAAGGGGCGCCATTAGGAGCAGTATCCCGGATGTGATGTACATACCAATGAAAGCCCAGAGGGCGCCTATGTAGGACCCTGTGTTGTCTATGCTTTGACCTGATAATTTAAAACGAGAATAATGTTATCTACAACAGGAAATAACATATTGTGATCTAATTACAGGGTTTGACATATTCCAACGATTCGATAATGATAATGATAAATATGTAGTGCTCACAACTTAAAGGGGCTGTAGCATGCCGAGACTATGCGTCTTTCCCGAGGCCCACTCGGGGAAAATCGGGTAAAATACGACTACGGACGACGCGACCGCAGTAGGCCTACGTATTCACGTGCGTGCAACCAAGGAGTGTAGTAACTCCTTGGTGCAACAGACGCGAAACCGAAGCGTGAGGAGAACTTCGGCCTGTTTCGCGAACGCTAGCGCGCTGACTTAGATGTAGATTACGTTAAAATGCAGCACCGGTTTTCTTGGATCCTATACATTTTCTGCAGAAAAACTGTTGGCATCGTTAGAAAATTCCGAAGATCGAAGAGGTGGCAAGTGTTCAAAATAGTTATATATTTTTTTTTACTCACGTTGCCATATTGTTAACGTATTTATTTTGTTTACTATAGGGCCCCGCTCACAAGCTTAGCTCCTAAAGGTTTCCCAATACCATTCATTTTATGGTGTAATCAAGTTAATATATGTTGATTAATCTACTATTACCAGTTTCTTTTTTATGTAAAAGATTATGTCATGTTCTTCAATAAAACCATTGCTTCTACATCATGCCACTCCGTTTCAAAGTATACATTCAGTTCAACAATATTCTGATGTCATGCTTAGTACTTTAATATTTCTATTTTGCCTTTTTTATCTGTACTATTTTATTACATTGCGTTATGTCGATTACAGAATTTATCAATCATGTATATGTGCTTTGTGCATGTCATCATGCCCATATTGAAACAGATATAAATTGATAAAATCAATATGAAACAAAGAAACTATGTTAAAGGCAGGGTATTCTACTAACACCAATTCAGATTTACGTAACCTGCCACGTGCTTCTCACATTTCCCGATGTGTCGACAACCTTGTTCCACAATGTATCACCAACCGACCATCCTATGTCGCTCGCGTTTACTTATGATGCTAGGGTACAGGAACCAGAAATCACTCCAGTACACGCCTTCACCAAAAGATGGCGCAATTGAAAATACATTACAGCAGTCGTAGCGATGTCGGTAAAAATACCCTGCCTTAATTTAAAGGTAAAGATCAGTTTTGGAAACGCCCTCCTCTCAAAATATGAAATGGAAACTCCTATTCCCAATCGTGTGAAAGAATATGTTTTGACTAATACGTGATGATACAAATTTTGCCGAGAAACCGACTACTAATTGATATATTTGGTAAATCATCTATTTGGACCTGATAGATATCGCGCACGTGTCGCGCATGTGTCGCGTAGTCCCATATACATCTTTCTGTGTACAGCTAGTGCTTGTAACTTTACCAAGACTGGGCCAAATTTCTTATCATTTTGATGATTCCGGAACCTTGCAGTACACACCAATACTTATATGCTAGATGACCAACCTTTTCTGGTCGATTCCCCAACGTTTCTTTCACAATGCAATGGCATGACCAGAACTGGTCTTTACTAGGGCTGCAACGTGTAGTCGAATGCTCGAGTACCCGCATTGTTGACAACTACTCTGTATCTACTTTAAAACTTTGACATCAGTTCCTTACCCACGAGAGAGCCGAGAAGATACCCAGTACCATAGCAGAAGAAGATCACCGCTGAAGTCTCCGTCGTCCTCTCTTGGCCAAAGAAATCAGGAGCAAGGCTGAACGTGACAACGTTGGTTATTGCCACTGAGATGCCAGCGCCTAAAAGGCAATTCAATTATATGTGATTTTTAATGAATTTTAAAAACTTCATCCCTGGACCCATCACAATTTATAAAATCCTGACCCTTACATATAACCTCAATCTTAATTGCAACCCTAATCCTAACCCTATACCTTTAACTTAATGCTTATTCAGCGGCTGGCTGAGTCGTTGCGAAATTTTCGGCCCGATTTCAAAATGTTAACCCCCCCCCCCTTGAAAAAAATCCTGCGTACGCCACTGAGCAAGGTTGACCATGAATGGCTTACCTTAGAGTTTGCCTTCAATCTCCCAAATTTAACATCATCGATGCAACTAAATGTTAAACATGATTGGCTAACGCAAGTGAGTTGGCATTCAACCCCCCGGAAATCTATTGGCATGATTAGTGACGCCACAAAATTAGTGGCTAACGCAATAGAGTTTGCATTCAACTACGAACTTATCACCAGCGCTGCATTACACAGTTGATAATAGTTGGCAAACGCTAGAGATTTTGCTTTCAATCCCCAAATTTACCATCTATGATGTAACACAATGTTGATCGTGATTGGCTAATGCTAGAAAGTTTGCATTAAATCGCCAAATTACCATCAGTTATACAAAAAGTCGATCGTGATTGGCTAGTGCGATAGAAGTTGCATTCAATCAAAAAATACAGTCATCGATACAAACAAAATTGTAAAACATGATTGGCTTCCGTAAAGAAATGCAATCATACTACTACCATCGATGTAATAAAGAATAGTTCATGATTGGTCACTGCAGGCAAGGTGCATTCAACTTACCAATGGCTGTGCAATAAACTGGTATAACACTCCTCACGATCATAAGTAAGATCCAGACGATGATACCGATGACGTTGGAAATGACTTGGATGAAGATTCTCGGGAAGGGAAGATGTTCCCCGATGAAAATTAGAGCCACTTTACCAACAAGAATGACCAAGGCGGTGAAAGACACGAACTGAACGCCTGTCTGCTCCATGAAACCAACAGACACTAGGTAATTGATCTGGGGAGAAATAACGAAGGTCCAAGGCCCCGTTGCATAAAACTTACCATTGATGGTAACTTTGCCATCAATATTAACAACCATGGCAACATTACCCAACAGCCAATCAAATCAAATTAATGGCAAAGTTACCACCAATGTCAAAGTTTTAAGCAACAGGGCCCAAAATTGTAACGTACATGTATGATATAAACATGGGGAGGGGGGGGGGGGGTGGAAATAGTTTACGGTAGACCTGTAAGGATACAATCCAGAGACCAATTAACTGTTACCATTACAGCAGAATTATAAAGAAAAGAAGTGCATTTTACTGGTTTTTGTTGTGTAACTATTTGCCGAGACAACCAAAGTGTAATATAATCGGGTATCATGTATCCTTTAGACAAAAGCGCTTTAGCGGTTCAAATCTTTTAAGTTGTCTCTCAATCCTTCATCGTCATCAGAAGCGCGGCACTTCAATTTCGGGAGCATTGCTACGTTTAAGAAGTAGGTGATAGCTGATTGTAGCTGATTTCAATACTCTTTTTTTTCGATCATACTGTTAGAGACTGCCTAAAGTATATATCGGTTTTTTAAATAATTGTTATTCATAGATATACATGAAGACAGTTGAATTACGTAACCTAAGAAACTGTAACAAGCCGTAACCAAACGAAAATCAATATCATGTATGACTATTATTTTGTCATTACCAACATGTATTGATATTTTGTATCCTATTCCTGTTCTTTGTAAGCTTTGTCTGAGCCATTATTTAATACATGTGAGCGAAACAAATATCCATGATGAACGTACATTGGACAAATGAAAACATTAAATTGAATTGAACAGGGATCCTTGCTTAAACAGCCAAGAGCAGCTAAGAGCCACCAGTAGCTGACAACGTCTGACATAATGCAAGCGACCAAAAGGCCACATCGATCTTCAAAACAAGATCCTCATCTGTTTTTAAGTGTTAGGACCTGAAATTAAATCTCCGTCTGAATATGTGGTAAAAAAACCCCTTGAAACAGCCTTGCAGTCTTTTAAGAACATCTTGGCTCTGTCTTAGCTGCTCAGGGATTTTTCGTCGGCTTATTTTCGACTCTCATATTCCGTTTGCTGTTTGTTGCTCTTGGTTGCTATTAGCCATGGGTTTTAGTTAGAGCAATACACCAGTTTACGGTTGTATCAGTGCGCATGCGCAGACAGTTGACCTCGGGTCATTGGCCCTGAAACAAAGCCAATGACCTGAGGTCAGTGGTATTTATGCGTAAATTAAGATTGCGCCCATGCAAATGATGATGTGCGCGCACAATGCAGCGCGTAAGCAGTGATATCATCATAATTTGCATGGGCGCAATCTCAATTTACGCATAAATACATGACCTCTAGGTCATTGGCTTTGTTTAAAATGGCGCACACCCTCTTACGGTTACAAGAGTGCGCGTGCGCAGACATGGGCGCCATCTTAATTTACGAGTAAACAAAGTTGTTTACTCGTAAATTAAAATGGCGCCCATGTAAATATGATGTAAGCGTACAGCGCAGGCAGTGACGCAACAATGCATGCGCATCTGAAAACATTGATAACGCAATGTTTACGCGGAAATAAAAATGGCGGCCTTAAACGTAAAAGTGTGTATTGGAATATTTGTTTTACCCTCGTTCCTCACCGCGTTTACATAGTAGAAGCAGTCACCGATTCCATTAAGGATGGTTGCCAAAGAAATCATCCAGAGCTCTGGGAAGGTCAGGGCCCTACCTATTTTCAGAAGCATCCCAGGGTCTTGAAGATCCTCTAGAGGCTTCTCCGATGTTAAGATATCAAGGGCCTCATTAGCCAGCTCTTTGTCGTTGTTGATAGGGTAACGTCTGGCCGCGTTTGCTGGGGAACAGTCATCGCTCTGCCAAGCCTGTTGGGTGCCCCTCGACTGATCCATTGTGAAAACTTTTTCTTCAGAATCAAGAACATCGACCGTGGCATCACCGTTGCTGCTTTCATCGCATGGGGTTTGATACGACACGTCACAGTTCGTCGTCAGTTGATGATAGTATCTCTTATCGTCAAGTTTCGCATTCTCCGCCTTCTCTACTACCTGCTTATCTTCGGAACAAGCATCCGATATCAGACTACGATCGTTAACTGACTTTTCCATCACCGTTGTGTCGTCTGCGCGCTGCTCTTCATCTAACAGCAAACTCTCCCTATTCTCCCCCAGTCCATCTACAAGTATATAAGCTGGCAGACTACCGGGAATTAGTTTACTATTGCATTCTCTATCCATCTTGGATGGGCTGGGTCGTAAACCAATTAAAGGACATTTGTCTAGATCGTCCGGCATAGCTTCAGCGATTCTGTCGATGGCATAATCGTCCTGTTTTGTTATAACTTTGCAGTATCTGTTCTTCGTTTTTCTGTTCCCATAGTGATCTGATGGAAGGGTGTAGGTGAGGACACATGGAAGACCGACGGCGAGAAGAAGAGCTCCCATGATTCGTAGTGTGATCCTCCAGCCGTAATTCGTAATGAGGAGAGCCATGACTTGTGTCAAAGCCAGCATACCTGAAAGATTGAAAAGAGAATGAATACAATAAACACAAGTGGAAAATGTATGTAGAAGATTAACTGAAGTGTTGTGGAAGCAGAGAAAGATTGAAAAGAAGAAGGAAAACAAGGGAAAGAAGAAGAAGACGACGACGAATGAGGAAAATGAGAAGGAGAACACGAAGAAGAAGAAGAAGAAGTATAAGAAGAAGAAGAAGAAGAAGTGGAAGAAGAAGAAAAAAGAAAAAGAAAAGAAAGACAGTAAAAAGGAAGGAAGAGTCCGACAAATAAGACTCATCTTATTTTCAATATCTGATGAACTTAGTTGTTGTTGTCATTTTTGTTGTTGTTGCTGTGTGTTTATTTTGATTCTACGTTCTAGCAGAGACGTGAGACTGTCTCACCTCTCTGCAAAGTTCTACTAAATTTAACAAAGGGCAAACTATAAAAGATAGCTTACCTGCTGTCGATCCAGTAACAGCGATGGCGACTGCCCGCATTGTATTCTTCTCGGGAAAATAGAGGACGATCAGATCAAAGGCACACACGGTGACGATCCCGGTGCCCACCCCGGCCATCAACCCGTACGTACCAAACATGGGTAAAAGACTCGGTAAGAATGACGTCACAAAGACTCCGACCGAAGCCAATACGATGCCGAAGATGGATACCGAGCGATAGCCGAATCTTTCCGAAGCCAGCTTGATGAATGGGGCGAGCATGAGCGAGATACTGAGCGGGATACTACCGACCCAACCTGAAAGAAAATAAACAAACATATAAACAATCCAATACAACAAAATGCTTAAAGACACTCAGTAGTTAGCTCTCATTGGGAATTCAACACCGTTCAGGTGTTTACCAAATAAGAGGTGCTGTCAATCACCAGAATTAGCCTTCAGTTTTATGACCATCAGGCCTTATGTAACGTACTGCGTTTTCCACCCATTCCCCAGATGGTAAAGTCATCTCACTTTTCCGACACCCGAAGACTCTCGATAGACGAGGGGGATTTGTCGATTGGCCAACGGGTTCGCTGTGTGGAGGCCTAATACCTGTACACACTTTAATGATTTTTATTATCCACCAAGTCTGGTGTCAGCGAATTATGGCCTTTTGCACATGGAAACTGACGAGTGATTCCCTTTAACTATTCTTCCTCATATACATCTCCCTCTTTGAGCAGTAGAGACCATCATATTCACTTCGATCTACAACAGCTCCTTCCCTTCTCATTTTTAAATCCAAGAAACAGGCAGGCTTCAAATCATAGCATTATAATTTGTGACATCTTTTTATAATGCTCTTTCAAACTTTCCTTTTCTTTGAAAATAAAAGGATTAAGCGACAAAAGAATCTTTGAAACAGAAACAATAGGGGGAAGACATAACCATTTTAAACGGTACAACCAACCCTATTCCCGGTAATAACTTCCTCTTTTATTTTTCTTTCATCGTGATTAAAATCGTCTTATCACTTCCAGACATCCGTGAACATGTTGACGAATAATTTTTCAGTTGTCTTTCTCTTTGAGAATAATGAGAATAATAATCGCCAATATCATCGAGCCACAAAATGGTCTATATAACCACCGAGAAGAAGCATAAAACAGGAATAATGAAACCTATTGCTCTCTTAGAGATTATGAATGTATAATATCTGATTGCATTTCTTTAACCTTGCATTCCTTTGCATAATGTATGTTCATGACATTTAATTCAGCTGTGGAGCCGCCATCCTGTCTTTTAATAAATTTCATTAGAATAAACCAAATAAAGGTAATATCGAAAAAGAAATATTATCAATAAAAATCAGTACTCACTAACGTTTTTTTTTAGAATAAGTAAATGATGATGATGTGGTGGTTATTTTGCCTGACTGCCAAGATAGCATAAATGCTTGTTAGTAAGCAACCAGAGGACAGACGGCTTTAGGTCTTCTCTGAGGGTCCGTAAATGTAAGCATCAATTTGAGTCACAATGATTATTTGTCGCATGATCCTTTTATTAAATAACCTTGTTTTCTTTTTTGTTTGCAAGGGGAGAAGAAGAAGCTATGTCACGTTAAGAAATTATAAAGGTCAGTTGTATTATGCGTATATACATATGATACCAGAACAAAATGTTGATTATCAGAATGTCATTTTGGAATACCTCTTTACAAATACCACATTGTCTTTAGCTCGTATTAGTATTAGTATGAGCCAATATAAAGCTATTATTCTTTATTCAGTTCAGTATAATGCTTTTCCTCAAAAATAGTTTCGCTATTTTTTTTAGGGTTGAGACGCTAAGAAATGGTTTCAAATGTACAATACACAAACCCTGAACCATTGCAAAATGATGGTGGTTCTCTCTCTCTCTCTCTCTCTTTATTTTAATCATGCATTATCAACTACATTATAAAGCAGCAACCACAAACTTAGAGTTATCTGAGATAGGTGAAAGTAAGAGTTAAAAAGAAAGTCATGCTAAAACGGCGCTTCACATCCCCCCTGAAAAAAATAGAATAGATTAGTGGTCCTCCTGTCTAGCACCCCCTCCCGCTTTAATATTCACCGGCCGGCTGAGTCAGCGCAAAAATGTTCCCCCAAAAATGGACCCCCCTAAACAAATATATGTGCATTTATCCAGCCCCACCCCGCTCATTCGTCGATCGCCGATCGCCGGCTGGCTGATTCGCCGCTAAATATTTTCTCAAGATTTGGCCCCCCCCCCCCCTCTTGCCGCCAGCTGGATCCGCCCCTCATTTTGGACCCCCGTAAGTGATGTTTTCCTGGTATCTACTTACATGCGAAGCATCGTCCACGAGCCACATAGCGGCGAGGTGAACATTTTGTTGTTGCTATTGAACCCCCGTAATGTTTCCCTGGCATCTACTAACATCTTACTGTTTGGGTCGATCTGGACACATAATGGCGTTTTTCTATGCACATCACATTTTCACTCGGCAGCCCAAGGGGGCCGGGGGGGGGGGAGGAGGGGGTTAAACCCCCTACCCCCCGTAGATCTGCCCATGTTACCATATCATTCCACGACATCATGGTCTTCCTCTTCCTCTCAATAGGGACTTTTAGATTTGCGTGGACGTGGACGTGTTACGTACTTTTAAGGCACTGGCAGTCACACGTTGTAGCCCACGTTCTCATCGTGCAAATCTAAAAGTCCCTAATATTAATTTAATGGTCGAGGTTCATTATTTGCTGATCATTTGAAATCACCAGACTTCAGCGGGTTTACGCTTTCACAACGAAAAACTTCTCCATAACCATGTTTCTGCCCCCCTCCCCCCACTCCGAGTAGAGACGGATCCCATGCGTGTTACCAAAATGTCCGGTAAAAAGGGGTACTTTTCGTGCGACAAAGTCCGGCCCGAGAATTGAAAAAAAGGGGTGTTTTAACTTTTCACCCGGAGATTTCTTTAAAAAGGTGGGTACATTGAGCATTTTCATGAATAAGGGGGTCTCCAAGGCAGGAAAAGCCCACGAAAAGCCCGCGAAAGGGGGGTTCGGAAATGTTGGCAGTCCTCAGATAGGGGTGCTTTCAAAAAGAGGGAACAAGCATATGCGTACCCTAAATAACACTGAGTGGGGGGCCGGGGTTTCTGCCCTTGCGCGATCGCCTCCAGCTCCAGCAGACATGGCGCGGCAGCGTGCACACGTACCGTTACTAACGGCGCAGTAGGCCTATAACCACTGCTGACGGCGGCACTGCACTGCGAGCTGAATCGGTAATAATAGGCCTACTCATAGAACGGGAAATCTTGCACGCTAATCTAAGTTCTATTTCATTGGTTTAAGGTTTGAAAATTGAAACTCAATATTGTGTTAAAGATATAACAGAAAAGATAATCTTTATTTCATAATTCCACGGGGGCGATTTTTAATTTTGCAATCGCCCCCGTGAGCAACCTGACGGGGGCGAATCGCCCACCGCCCCCGTGTATTTTGAGCGCTACCATCTACACTGAGCAGCATCTAGAGAGAAAGGGGAATGGGACATACACAAAGACAGATAGAGACCGAGAGAGAGAAAGAGAAGGTGTGTGTGTGTGTGTGTGTGGGGGGGGGGGGGAGGGGGGGGGGGGGGGTCGATCATAATTAGCCAAAACAAATGGAGTACTTTGGCAACAGCTATATATTTTGTTTAAATCTCGAAACAAAATCAAGCACATGCTTACCTGTCAACGTCGCACTGCTCTTAAACTCCTCCTGAAATGCGACAAAGAGCAAACTGTAGCTGAAGAGGATCCCATATAGTACGAAGTAGAGGGCGAACGTCGCTACGACCACCACACGTCCCCATCGTCTCCTCACCCGATGTCGAAGAGATGGTCGACTCGTTGTCGACTTCAAGGCCGGATCGCCGACGATGGATGGAGACATCTTTAATCACGACTGTCTTTCAGAACAAACTTGAATTCACAGGGAGAGTGTGATTGCGTAGGGGCGATCCATCTCCATCATGTTTTTGCAACATTTGTTTCAAATGATAATGTAGCAGGAACTGCGTGAGCTTTGCAGCATGTATACAACCACTGTGAATCTAAGCGAAACACGTCATGTAGATATAGTAATGTTGTCCTCAGTGCGCGGCGATCGAGGTAACAAAATATCGCAATGGGTACTGATATATCTCAGCCTATTTACACTCCGCTTGCTGCAGCTTTAGTCTGGCAATGTACGTAACAAACGCACCCGGTATTGCCAAGATGAAGGCTATACCTAATATACAATACATTATGTTAACCATGGTATCGTCCGTTGTTCAATAACCACATGCAAATAAAACCCACTGAACCATACGTGACAGTGGTGTGTGTAAATATTATTATGAAGAGAGTTATTGTGAGGATAGCTTTATATAGATCGAGGCCCATTAAAGCGCTCAAATATCTTCTTTTTTTAAAAACACGAGTATGGCATCAAACAAACGATACTACCCACCACACTTATTGGAAGAACATAGGTTTATCTTGATAAGGACAAACGGAAAACTAGCTGAGAGAATAAACATAAAGTGTTCATGGAAATATATTCCTAATCAGTGACTAATTATAGGCTAAAGTGATAAAACCCATGTAAATGCTCAGTGGCGCATTGACACCAGTGCACACAAATTATGGCTACCTATAGATTTCTTATAAACAAAGGTCGAAGTGTAAACACCCCATGCAATCGACATCAACCTGTGAAAGAAAAAGACGGATAAACAAACATAAGGTAAAGTCCTAGAATTCTATCTTTCCCTCTCCCCTTTCTCTCTCTCTCTCTATATATATCTCCCTCACTCCCCTCCCCGTTTCTTTCTCTCTCTCTCTCTCTCTAATTGCACTCCTCTATGTCTATCTCGTTCTCTCTCCTTCTAACTTTGTGTGTTTTGTTGATGTTTTTTCTCTCTCCCCCCCTCTCTCTCTCTCTCTCTCTATATATATATCCCTCCCCTTTCTTTCTCTCTCTCTCTCTCTCTCTCTCTTTGCACCCCTCTATATCTGTCTCGTTATCTCTCTCTTTCTATCTTTGTGTGTTTTGTTGTTGATTTTGTTTTTGTTTCTTTCTATTTTTTGACTTGTATATTTATATAGCGTATTTAGGTACATGTACCTTAATTTCTTAAACAGCAAACAGCACTGTCCTACCCCCCCCCCCCAATTCATGTGTGGGCATGCCTTGAACCATAATGCATGGCCCTTAAGAGGATTTTTTCCTGTTGGGGACCCGGGGGGGGGGGGATGCAATGCATTAATAATTTAATGCATTTTCTTTGTTTTTTGTATTTGTCGGGCGGCGACGTACCCTAGCTAGCCCCCGCTGCGTGATGATTCAGTGGCTAAGCAATGGCCTCGTTACTGTCAGGCCCCAAAATAAAAACCGTGTCGATCAGCTGTATAAGTGCCCATTTGTGAGGCATTAATCCTCATTACTGTCAGTTATGAATTAAGGACGTAGGTCCCCTAGTTGATTAGCATAGTAGCACACACATGATTTAGCAGTCACGCAAAACAAACACTCGCAAATTGTTATTTAATAAAATCTGAGAATGTATACTATTATCTAGATCTATTAGGAATAAATCATTGTCAAAATCATTCCATAAATTGAGGGTGACAAACAATTATTCCACCTTTATGACCAACAGTGTATATACTTGAACTTGGAATGATAAGTAGCCTTGAAGTTGTCGCAATATATCATGTGTGAGTGAGCTTAAAGTTTAATGGTGTAGGTTTGCTTGAGACTATGATAGCCTTTACCTTGACCCTTGACCTAAGCCTTCCATACCACCAGGGAGATGTGTGATGGCTTCTGCTTCATGACCCCAAGCTAGACATCCTCACAATCAGCCTTTACACAATCTAACCATTTCTTGGCTGGTCTGGCCCGGGGTGCAATTTTTGTTCCCAAACAGATTTGCAATTTCTTATATTTCCGTTCTTCTCAATGGCGGATATGTTCTACGTCATTAATTAGCAGCTTGGAAAGAGGTCACAAACAATTAGACTTTGATTTTCTATTGCTTTGTCTCACTATTTATAAAGGCAAAAAAACTGAGACTTGAACCCACAACTTTTAGATTGTATTACGCTGACCTTACCGATTGAGCCAACGATGGGTTGATGAAAGTGCTTCTGCATGATTTCTATAACCCTATCACTCACTCTAACGATTACGTCATTGCTAATGACGTAACATATCAGCCAATCAGATGACCGGAAATATTAGCATTGGCAAACCTGTTTGGGAAAAAAAAATTAGCGGCTCGGGGTCTATCACCATGAATATTAGAAGTTAGGAGTATCTTTGGGTATCGTGATGGTCTCATCCGTATTGTCCAGAATGGTTACATCCAGTCCTATAGAGTCTGTCTTATTGTTGTATATATTTCCTTTTTTTTAATCTAATCTTGTTACACCCACAATTTTTCGGAGGCAGATCATTTCAAAGGTAAGGAGCCTGTTCTCATCTTTTTTGTCCATGTTTCTGATCCATACATAAGGATGGATAGGATGAGTACCTTATATAGCTCAAGTTTTGTAACATCTCTAATGTCTTTGGCTGTCAATATGCTGTGAAGACTTTGAACAGCGCCCAGGGCTTTTCCAATCCCATTCTTTATGTCCTCTGTACATTTTCCTGATTGAGTGATGGTACCTCCCTGGTCAAAAAACTTTTCCACCTGTAGTAGTTTGGTTCCACCTATGCTAATGTTAATGTATTGCTGCTTTTTTCTGATGACCTGGACCTCTGTCTTGGCAATATTGATTTTGAGGCCAAAGTTTGAGCTCCACTGGTGCACACAATCTACAATGAACTGGAGATCTCGTTACATGCAAGAAGAACTATGTCGTCAACGAAGCGGAGGTTGTTGATCAGATGGCCTTGGATGTTTGGCGCTGGCGCTGTTTTAGAAAAATGTAGGGGAATAGAGAGTCACATATAAAGATTTTGTTCAGAAAATATCTGAATAAAAAGTGGAAAAAAATTAATAAAAGAAAAAAGAAGAAAAATGTGCAAGTGTGTGCAAGTGGGTGTGTGCAGGTGAGGTAAGTGTTCGATTCGTATTGTTCATGAACTGGCCATCTAAAATTAATTTAAATAAACAATCAAAACCTCTGAGACCCTTATGATGTTTTTGAATATGTAGATATTAAATATTTTTTCATCGATGCTTTGAATGAATAAAGAGTTGCAGAGTGTTTAATATTGTCAGGTAAAGCATTTCAAATGTCTGGACCATGATGTTTTATCGATTTATAGGCCATAATAATTTTGGGGTTTGTTAAGTGGAAATCGGATGAGTGTCGTGTGGGATAAGAATGTATATCACTATTGTAAACAAAAATATTTCGAAATGCCAAAGGTATAGTATTTATCCAACATTTATACATAAAGATTGCAATTTGAAAACTGTGAATGTCAGCGATTTTTAATGTTTTTAGTTTACAAAATATTGGATCAGTGTGGGCTAAATAATGTGAATGTGTACAAAGACGAAGTGCTTTCTTTTGGAGACGATATATTAACATAATTTTCATCTTACTACTATTACCCCAAACTATGTTACAATAAGATATGTATGACAAAATGAAGGAATTGTAAAGCATGAATAGTGACTTTCAGTGTGATAGATAATATTTTAATTTATATAAAATGCCTATGCTTCTGGATACTAGCATGCAAATGTTGTTAATATGACTATTCCAAGTTAGGTTTGAATCAATCATTACACCTAAGAATTTTGTAACTTCTTTTTCAATTATGGGCATGTTATCTATAAAAATATCATAATGAAGTACATGTTTAGAGTGTATGTTTTTGAAATAAATACAATTAGTCTTATTAATATTTAAAGAGAGTTTATTGGATTTGAACCAAGATGATAATTTATTTAGTTCTAAATTGAGGGTTGTAATAAGAATGTTTAAGTCTTTATGCGAATAAAATACGTTGGTATCGTCTGCGAACAGAACATATGTTAGGAGTGGTGATGCATTAACAATATCATTCATATAAACTAAAAACAGAAGGGGACCTAATATGGAGCCTTGTGGTACTCCGCATTCTATGGTGGAAATATTAGATGTTGTAAATTTAAACATAACATATTGATGTCTATTACGCAAATAGTCTTCAAACCAAGAAAGTACAATCCCTCTAACTCCATATGCTTTTAATTTATGTATTAATATACGATGGTCCATGGTATATAATGCTTTCAATAAGTCCATAAAAACACCTACAATGTGTTCTTTTTTAGAAAGGGAATCAGTTATTTTGTCACATAATTGTAGAATAGCATAATCAGTAGAGTGGTTCTTTCTAAATCCATATTGATTAGGAATTAAAAAGTTATTGATATCTAAAAAAGAATATAATCGTTTATAAACTATTTTCTCTAACATCTTTGAAATGCTTGGTAGTAAAGAAATTGGTCGGTAGTTTGAAACTTTAGAGTGATCATCCTTTTTATATATCGGAATTATTTTTGCAACTTTTAGTGGGTCGGGAAAAACCCCTTGGGAAAGAGATAAATTAAAGATATGTGATAACGGGGAAGCTATGAAGTGAATTATTTGTTTAAATAAAGATACACTTAGCTCATCGTAGCCACTAGATTTACTGCTTTTTAATGAACGAACAATTTCTAAAATCTCTTGAATATTTGTTGGATTAAAAAATAAGGATTGATTAACGTTATTATTTAAGTATTTGAAAAAAATCATTCTTTTTATTGATTATTTTGGAAGCTAAATCCGGTCCAATATTAGTAAAGTATTTATTGAATGCCTCAGCAACATCATTTGGGTCTATGTGATGCCCATTATCATTAAATTCAATATTATTTGGAGTATCCTTTTTCTTCCCCAAAATGTCATTAACTGTTTGCCATAATGATTGATTATTATCTTTATTATTTTCAATTTTATTACCATAGTATAATTTGCGTGATAAACGAATTATGAAGTCAATTTATTACGGTACTTTTTATATTTATTTTGATTTCCATTTGTAGGTGATCGAAGTGAGATTTTATATAAACGAATTCGGGTAGATATTGATTTAAGTATACCTTGAGTAATCCATGGTCGTTTATTTTTCTTTTTATTTGACTTAATCCTTGAGAGGGGCACATTTTTATTATAATGACAAAGAAGTTTGTTTATAAATTTGTCATATGAACTGTTCACATCTCTTTCAAAATAAATATCATACCAATCTTCTTGACTCAAGTCTATCTTTAAGGATTCAATATTACGCTTGGTTTCTTTACGTCGTGTTGTATGTTCTTTATTGGGAATTTGTAGGTGTTTATCATTAGGACCTATCGTAAATATTGGTAAATGGTCTGAAATATCATAGTATATTATTCCATTCTGTTTATTATCTAATACGTTTGAGAAAATATTATCAATTATAGTATGTGTTAAGTTTGTAATCCTAGTTGGTTTATTAATGAGAGGTTTAAAAAAAAATGAAGATAATAAATTAGTGAAGTGTTGGCCAAGAACGGTAAAAGGTAAGGATATATCGATATTAAAGTCTCCCATAATATATACATCTTTATTTTCTCTAGAAATAAATTCAAGGCATGATTCTAATTCATCAAAAAATGTGTCGGCTACATTGTTAGGTGGTCTGTACCCCAACGATTCTATTCTTATGTTTATCATCAATAATTTCTAAAAATAATGTTTCTATTCCTTCCAGTTGAATATCATGTCTTATTTTAAATTGTACATCATTACGAATATAAAACGCGACACCTCCTCCCTTTCCGTTTTTACGGTCTGAATGAATAAATTCATAATTCTCAATGTTGAATATTGGAGGAGAAGTTGAGTGTAACCAGGTTTCGGTAAATCCTATCAAAGAAAATGAAAATGTGTTTAGGATTGTTAAAAATTCTTCAAAATTATCGAAATTCTTTAGTAAGCTTCGAATATTCATGTTTAATAAACTAAAACAGTGAAGGTTATTATTGGGTCCCGTTGAATTAAAATTTGAATTAAATTCACTAGTAGTATAATATTTACTCTGGGGTGTATAAACTTGATCATTCAGAATATCATTTAAAGCCATTAAGATTAAAAATGTGGTATTGCGACCAGTATAAATGAAAACTATGTGTTTGGTGCGTGCATGTGCGTGTAAGAGTGCAAGTGCATTTATAATGGGTGTCGGCAAAAACCAACAAAATCAGGGGGGTGTACATGATGTTCACTTGTGCGTGACTATCAGACAGACTCGGGGCCGGTGACAGCGTTCAAACGTGGTCATTAATTAAAAAATAAAAAAACTTAGAAATTTGTACTTTAAGAAAGTTTTTTTTGTTTTTGTTTTTTGTTTTGAGTATTGTTATCGTTTAAATTTACAGTGATGAATTGTTTTCGAAACGTACTACCTTTAAATTACAGAGAAAGGTAGGTAAGCATATGTGCTATACCTAAGGGGGTGAGAAGGAAACAACGTTCAGCATTAATGACTGGATTATGATTGACATGAGAATAGGGATTTACAGGGGGTATGATAATACCTTGGCTTTAGCACAAGTAATACAAATAAGCAATAGTTAAGTTGAAATAAAATGAATTTATATGCATCATGCCGATCCACGTCACACCGACGAAACACCGCCAGACACCGGCGAACCAGCATACCGCGGAGAGACCGCGCCAAATGAGTCACGTCATCATGGAGCGCGAAATACCAACGATACGCCAGCCACCAGACCAGGCAACGAAACGCCAGAGCAGCGCAAACGCTACTTGTTGGTCCCTCCCTGACAACCGGCATGGCAACCAGTCCAGCGGGTGAGGGCCGCTGATCATCTAACCGTGAACCGCGGGCCACGCCCACAGACATGGTCGCCACGCACTACGTTTAAAACAAGAAAAACCATCAACAAAAAACAAGCAATAGTACACTAGTTTCGTGAAATCGACAATGATATAATGAACACCGGGCATGGTATTGATAGCCAAAGTTGCCCAATAGTAACAAATAAAAATCAGTCGAAACTCGGCCAGGCATTCAAGTTAAAAGGCGATATATGTAATGTATAATAATTAAACTACAATGAAACAGTCACTAACGATTTGTTTTGGGCAGTCTCATTTGCAAAATTACTCAATGCTACAAAAAATATCCCGCATTACATAATCAACTCAACCGGGCACTAGGTCGGAGGCACGAAGGTAGCAATGGCCAAAGACACACTTTAAGAATACAGACCAAATAGGGCATTGACATCGCCATAATGCTTATTCAAGCATTTTTGTGTATGTATTGACAAAACAAAACCAGCCATGCAGGCCAAAAAATGTCAAAAAGTCGAGTGTATGTAATATATAATAATTAAACTACAATGAAACAGTCACTAACGATTTGTTTTGGGCAGTCTCATTTCCATAGTTTTCAATGCTACACCAAAAAATAAGCCCGCATTACATAATCAACTTAACCGGGCACAAGGTCGGAGGCACGAAAGTAACAATGGCCCAAAGCACAATTTAAGAATGCATACCAAATAGAGCATTTACATCGCAGAAAATGCTTATTCAAGCATTTTTATGTCTGTATTGACAAAAACAAAACTAGCCATGCAGGCCAAAAAATGTTAAAAAGTCGAGTGTATGTAATGTATAATAATTAAACTACAAAGAAACAGTCACTACCGATTTGCTTTGGGCAGTCTCATTTGCAAAGTTTTCAATGATACACCAAAAAAAAATACCCCGCATTACAGAATCAACTCAACCGGGCACTAGGTCGGAGGCACGAAATTAACAATGGCCAAAAGCACAATTTAAGAATACATACCAAATAGGGCATTCACATCGCCATAATGCTTATTCAAGCATTTTTGTGTCTGTATTGACAAAAACAAAACCAGCCATGCAGGCCAAAAAATGTTAAAAAGTCGAGTGTATGTAATGTATAATAATTAAACTACAAAGAAACAGTCACTACCGATTTTCTTTGGGCAGTCTCATTTGCAAAGTTTTCAATGCTACACCAAAAAAAATACCCCGCATTACAGAATCAACTTAACCGGGCACAAGGTCGGAGGCACGAAATTAACAATGGCCAAAAACACAATTTAAGAATACATACCAAATAGGGCATTCACATCGCCATAATGCTTATTCAAGCATTTTTGTGTCTGCATTGACAAAAACAAAACTAGCCATGCAGGCCAAAAAATGTTAAAAAGTCGAGTGTATGTAATGTATAATAATTAAACTACAAAGAAACAGTCACTACCGATTTGCTTTGGGCAGTCTCATTTGCAAAGTTTTCAATGCTACACCAAAAAAAAAAATACCCCGCATTACAGAATCAACTCAACCGGGCACTAGGTCGGAGGCACGAAATTAACAATGGCTGTTTGGATCAGTGAACAAGCCGAGATGTGCCCGTTAGAATGTATAGTTCCTACTGGTGTAGGTATTTATTCAATCTGTAAAGATAATGCACAAAAAATAACATATTTTGAGTTATCTTGTTCATACTCTGAGTCTGACATGTTCTTAATAAATGGTTTGAAATGTACAATTCCTTTTGTGACCTGGTTCTTATTTATGTTTTCCTTATAATTATATACATAGAAAAGAATCTACAAATGCCTGATTAATGAATAACCCATATCCTCTAAATTGCCTAAGTGTATGAGTGTAGCAGACAATATTGCTTGTTATCAAAAACCAATTTTCAAATCACCTTCATATCTTTAACTAAATCACTAACAACTCACTCACTGACACATTACCTTAAATTCCTTTACACAAAAATTGTGCTCCTGACTTCAACCTATTTTCACGTGTACATTATTTACCAAGAACTTTGACTTTTGTTTATAACTTTCCTTTTCCTTCTTGTTTTACATAATCACATCATCAACACATTATTTACATAATTATATCATTAATCCAAAGAACTTACTTCTGTGGCGGGACACAAATTAACATGCCGAAAATGAGCAAATGATGACGAGCTGACAATTCCTTCCTGTCAACGTGTTGAAATGAAAGTGAGTGACAACTGAACATGCCGTACTAAAACCACCGTGAAAGAAATTGCTACGGTATCTTCAGAAAGAAAAATCCAAAGAAAATACGACTCTAACTGTTTGAGCTTACAAAAGTAACGGGAAAAAACGATCTCAAAATAAATACCTTTGCAACGATTGAATTTCCTTAATAATATGAAAAACAACAATTTCATACCAAAACATCCTCCCCACCCAATGAGGGAATTTGTCCTCATGATATAAATGAAGAAAATCTTACATCCAAAAAAAATGCAAAGATTAATCTGTTCTTAAGTTTACAATGTTTCAAACTTAAAGTTCTCGTGTAACTTAATCTTCGTAACCTTCTGCGGGATAGATTACAGCAATCTTCGTGATCGGGCGACGGTACTCAGAGTTCATAGTCTTTACTTTCACGTTCCGTACTTTACCGTCATCACCCGGAAACACCTCGATTATGCGAGCAATTGTCCACTTGCTACGCACAGAGTTCGCGTCTGCGAACATAACGATATCATCAACGCGTACATTACGTCGATGCACATTCCATTTTCTTCTAGGAGTTAACAGTGGCAATACGTCCCGCGTCCAGCGTTGCCAGAATGAATCTACGATGCGCTGAACCAGTTCTACTCTGTGCCTCGGATTTCGCGTTTCCAAGAATGGACCTTGCGCTACGTTCCCTGATGCTCGTCCTAGAAGCATGTCATTCGGTGAGATGTATCCGCCATCATCTGGATCGGTCGACAGCCTGCCAATTGGTCTCTGGTTGACCAGATTCGCCACCTCAGCCAGACAAGTTAAAAGCTCAAATGGTGCCAACACTTGCTCCCCAATTGCCTTCTTCAAAGCATGTTTGCAGCTTTTGACTAAAGCCTCCGCACAGCCGTTCTGATGTGGTGCTCCCGGAGTGGTAAATCTCCATACGGTACCTCTCTCAGCACAAAAGTCCTGAAGTTCTTCGTTGGACAGTCCCTCAGTCATCTTGCTTAACTCCCGTTCAGTACCGACAAACTGAGTGCCGTTGTCGCTTAGGATGCTGGCCGGTTGTCCTCTCACAGCGAAAAAACGCCGCAGTACCTGCATAAACTCCATGGCACTGCAATCTACTGCCAGCTCGAGATGAACGGCCCTTGTGTTCAAGCAGGTAAAGATGACTCCGTAATGCTTCGACGTCTTGTTGCGTCCCACTCGCACGGTTAGTGGCCCGAAGTAATCGCACGATGTGAAGTGGAACGGTGGTGTATTCGGAGCTAATCTCTCCCTAGGTAGCTGGGCCATTTCTTGGGTCTCAGTTTTTTGCAGAAAAGCTCTGCATTTAGTACACCTGTACTTGAGCGTTTTGATAAGTTTATGGCCCCGTAGAATCCAGTACTTTAGCCTTATCTTTGCCATGGTTGCAGCTACTCCACTATGACTCATCTCATGAACATGACGAGTAATCAGCTTGGAAACATGATGTCCATACGGAAGAAGAGCAGAATGCTTGTGCTCGAATGATGTCATCGCTTTATCTATCCTGCCTCCTACTCGAATGACTCTATAGTCATCAATGAAGGGACTCAAGGACTTCAGTTCTCCCTTCTTGATTCGTGATTCCATGCCTTTCTGTACGTCTCTGATGATGTACCTCTCTCCCTCCTCTAGTTCTGCGGGAGTCATTCCTTTACTGGTCTCTTTCTCCTGATTTCCCCGTCTAGCCTTTAGTTTCTTCACAAACTTTAACACCAATGTTGCGACTCTGACCAGTTTCCTCCAGCTGGAGAACCTCTCATAATCGATTAGGTCACAACTTAAACCCACAGCTAGAACCGTCTTCTCATGACGCCTCTCCTTCTCAACGTCAGGTAGATTCGTAAGAACCTTCACTTCCTCAGGCCAATCAGATCTTGACTGTTGTAGGAAGTCTGAACCGTGTTGCCATGACCCCTTCAGTTCACTTGCCTTCAGTCCTCTTGACAACACATCTGCTATGTTGTCTACTCCTGAGATATGTCGCCATTTGCTGGGGTCTGTGTTGCTCTGGATCTCTCCTACCCTAGTAGCAATGAACGTCTTGAAGTTCCTTGCCTTAGACCTCACCCATGAGAGGGCTATCATACTGTCTGTAAAGAGGATGACATCATCTATCTCCATCGTCAGCTGCTCTACTATCGTCTTGTACAGTCGGCTGGCAAGAACTGCAGCCTGAAGTTCAAGGCGCGGAACCGTCAGTGGCTTCAGTGGTGCCACTCGTGATTTCGCTGCCACAAATCTTGTCTTGTAGTCTCCATCCTCCGTCTCCCACCTCAGGTATGCACATGCTCCGAAGGCGTGCATTGATGCATCACTGAAGATACATAGTAGCGGCTTCCCAACTACATCCTTCGGAGTCAAACATCTCTCAAACGTTACTTCCTTGAGCTCTTCCATCTCTTGAAAGAATCTCTTCCACTCTATCTGGCATTCCTCTGGAAGAACTGCATCCCAGTCATAGCCAGCTTCCCACATCTTCTGTAGTCCTATCTTTGCTCGGATGACAAACGGTGCTGTGTAGCCAATAGGATCAAAGATTCGAGAAACCTGGCCTAGGATGATTCTCTTGGTTAGCTCCTTATCCAAGAACTTCTCAACTTTCACCCTGTAAGAGAACTCATCCCTTTTTCTGTCCCAGAAGACTCCTAGCACCTTTTCCTCTGCTAGACTCTCCATCAGAGTTTTCTCCATTTCATCTCCTCCTGCTCCCTTTAGCTGTGTGTTTGAAGTCCAGCCTTTCACCTTAAACCCACCATTAGCGAGAATATTGTCAATGCTCTCAGTTAAGGCTTGAGCTTCCTCTCTCGTATTTGTAGATGTGCAGATATCATCCATGTATGAGTCTCTCTTCAACACATCTGCAGCCTCTGGGGACTGAGTGCGTCCCTCTTCTGCAGTGAGCCTCAATGCTGTCTGCGCCATTGCTGAAGCCGGTTTGTCACCGAAGGTAACAACTTGCATCACATAGGTATCAGGCTTTCTATCAACTTGCAAGTCTCTCCACAAGAATCTGTGTACGTGTTGATCAGATTCCGGTATCAGCACCCTATGATACATTTTGGAGATGTCCGCACAGACTGCTACTGGCTTCTCCCGAAATCGTATGATGACTCCAAACAAATTGTTCAACAGGTCAGGCCCCTTCATCCAGAAATCATTGAGACACTTGCCTTGGTACACTGATGAAGAGTTGAAGACAATTCGTATCGGTGTGCTCTTTTTCTCTGGTCTCAATACGGCGTGATGAGGGATGTAATGCACAGGACCGTTGTACGACTCCATCTCCTCAGCCGTTAGCTTCCTAGCAAAATCCATCTGAACCATCTCCTTGATTTGATGGTCATAGGCCTTTGCATGCTCTGCATCCTTCATCAGCCTTTTCTCAGTAGCACAGAGCATTTTCTCCACTAGAACCTTATTGTCTGGAAGTTCTCTAGGATCTTTCAACCATGGGTACGGTACCAGCCACTGCTGTCCTTTCTTCTGACAGGCCTTGGTGATTAACTTCTGTTCATCTGTCTCCATAGCTGGACATGCCACACCCATGGACTCCGTCGTCCAGAAATCCTGCAGGTCAATAGGATTTCCAACCACCTGTACATTAAGTACACTTCCACTGCTCTGTCCTGGCTTGCCGCCAAATACCACCCAACCTAGTGGAGTTCGCGTAGCCACTAGATGTCCTCTTTCTCTTGACTTGACTTCACCAAGATGTAGTCTTGCATAATCAGCACCGATGAGTAGATCAACTGACCCGTCTCCTCTGTTGAGCTTATCAAGATCGAAAATCCTTGCAAGCTCCCGAACTTCAACACTTCTGATGTTGTCGTTGATCACATCTAGTCCAATAGCTTTCACATTAACAACTCGATGATTGTCCAAAGACTCTACCTTCACCCGATACCACTTAGAATTAGTAGTCTCTCTATCTCCGCCGATCTTTGTGATCACTATTTGAACCGGATCACCCTCCAGGTTGAGCTTCTCTGCTACTCCCTTCCTGATGAGTGTCACCTGAGAACCCGAGTCCAGTAAACAGTTGCCAATGACCGCTCCCTTTGGACCACGAACCTTGACTGTAAGAATTGGCAGAAGAGTTTCACTCGATCCGGTGCTTGCAACATCCACAGTAGATTCCTGGATCTTTATGGTTGAATGTAACAAAGGATGGTGAAAGGAAGAACATCGATCACACTTCTTTCTTCTCCGACATGTAGTCATCCGATGTTCCTTGCCAGCCCGTTTCAGACAGCTAAAACAAGCCCTGTTTTCCTTCATCAACTCGTACCTCTCCTGCTGGCTCATCTTAACGACCTTCTGACACTTATCGACCCAATGATCATTGGATTTACAGAGCCAACACTTAAAGTCTGGTTTGCGACCTTCATTTCCTTTGTCCTCCTGTGTCAGATGGTGTATGAAGGCACCCTGCCTTGGCTTGCTATCTGACCTTCCTTCTCGAATCGATGCAGTTGCCCTGATACGAGTTTGCAACTCCTGGCTCAACCATTCCATTAAGCACTTCAAAGTTGGTGACTTCTGTTGACGTAACCAGATCTTACGATCTTCATTCGTAAGCTTTCGCTCTATCAATGACAACATGTGAGAATTGTTCATGTCCTCCTCCTTGTTGATTTCCTTCAGAGTGTTGTAGCTCCTCCTCACTAACCCTGCTAGTTCAATGAACCCTTTATCATCGCCGTCTTTCAAGTTCTTGAACTTTGTGATGTCGTAGATGACAGCATCTGCGACATTCCTCTGATCACCGTAGATGACATTTAGTTGCTCCCAAGCTGCGTTGTAGTCTGTTCCTATGCCTTGAATCACTTCAAGTGCTTTGCCTTGTAAACTAGTACGCAGAATGGTTATACAGTCCCTCTCCGAGTATTTGGACTCGATAAGATGTTTAAAGTCCGATTTGAAGGTCTGGTACTCTCTGATGTCTCCTGAGAAACGTGGCAACTTTGGTTTCTCTATCTGTACATGACATGTTGTTGTGTTTCTCACTTCTGACCTTGGGCTTTCAACCTCTCTTGTGGTGTCAACCGTGTCATCCGCGCCGGTACTATTGCCTACATAGTCCACAACCTTCAACTTCATCTGTATGAAGCTATTCATGCACTCCTCCATCCACGCCTGCTCTGCTTCATACGCGGTGTCATCGAGAACCTCAGAATAGGCATCATGCTTTGCCTCCACATTTTCATACAGTTTGCGGAATTCGTGATAGCTCTCATCTACCTCCTTGATGGATCTTTCAGTGTTCAAAAGGGCCTGTAGTTGGTTCATACCCCTTGTGAGCTTCCCTTTTGCCGTTCTCCTCTTAACTTTCAGCTCGCCTGCAGTTTCAGCCATCTTGTCCGTCTGATTCCAATCCCGGAGTTTCGTGAGAAATTGAATTATGTTTGGATCAGTGAACAAGCCGAGATGTGCCCGTTAGAATGTATAGTTCCTACTGGTGTAGGTATTTATTCAATCTGTAAAGATAATGCACAAAAAATAACATATTTTGAGTTATCTTGTTCATACTCTGAGTCTGACATGTTCTTAATAAATGGTTTGAAATGTACAATTCCTTTTGTGACCTGGTTCTTATTTATGTTTTCCTTATAATTATATACATAGAAAAGAATCTACAAATGCCTGATTAATGAATAACCCATATCCTCTAAATTGCCTAAGTGTATGAGTGTAGCAGACAATATTGCTTGTTATCAAAAACCAATTTTCAAATCACCTTCATATCTTTAACTAAATCACTAACAACTCACTCACTGACACATTACCTTAAATTCCTTTACACAAAAATTGTGCTCCTGACTTCAACCTATTTTCACGTGTACATTATTTACCAAGAACTTTGACTTTTGTTTATAACTTTCCTTTTCCTTCTTGTTTTACATAATCACATCATCAACACATTATTTACATAATTATATCATTAATCCAAAGAACTTACTTCTGTGGCGGGACACAAATTAACATGCCGAAAATGAGCAAATGATGACGAGCTGACAATTCCTTCCTGTCAACGTGTTGAAATGAAAGTGAGTGACAACTGAACATGCCGTACTAAAACCACCGTGAAAGAAATTGCTACGGTATCTTCAGAAAGAAAAATCCAAAGAAAATACGACTCTAACTGTTTGAGCTTACAAAAGTAACGGGAAAAAACGATCTCAAAATAAATACCTTTGCAACGATTGAATTTCCTTAATAATATGAAAAACAACAATTTCATACCAAAACAATGGCCAAAAGCACAATTTAAGAATACATACCAAATAGGGCATTCACATCGCCATAATGCTTATTCAAGCATTTTTGTGTCTGTATTGACAAAAACAAAACCAGCCATGCAGGCCAAAAAATGTTAAAAAGTCGAGTGTATGTAATGTATAATAATTAAACTACAAAGAAACAGTCACTACCGATTTTCTTTGGGCAGTCTCATTTGCAAAGTTTTCAATGCTACACCAAAAAAAATACCCCGCATTACAGAATCAACTTAACCGGGCACAAGGTCGGAGGCACGAAATTAACAATGGCCAAAAACACAATTTAAGAATACATACCAAATAGGGCATTCACATCGCCATAATGCTTATTCAAGCATTTTTGTGTCTGCATTGACAAAAACAAAACTAGCCATGCAGGCCAAAAAATGTTAAAAAGTCGAGTGTATGTAATGTATAATAATTAAACTACAAAGAAACAGTCACTACCGATTTGCTTTGGGCAGTCTCATTTGCAAAGTTTTCAATGCTACACCAAAAAAAAAAATACCCCGCATTACATAATCAACTTAACCGGGCTCTAGGTCGGAGGCACGAAAGTAACAATGGCCAAAAACACAATTTAAGAATGCATACCAAATAGGGCATTTACATCGCCATAATTTGTGTATGTATTGACAAAACAAAACCAGCCATGCAGGCCAAGCAAATGTTAAAAAGTCGAGTGTATGTAATGTATAATAATTACACTACAACGAAACTGTCACTAACGATTTGTTTTGGGCAGTCTCATTCCCATAGTTTTCAATGCTACACCAAAAAATAAGCCCGCATTACATAATCAACTTAACTGGGCACTAGGTCGGAGGCACGAAAGTAACAATGGCCAAAAACACAATTTAAGAATGCATACTAAATAGGGCATTTACATCGCCATAATGCTTATTCAAGCATTTTTGTGTATGTATTGACAAAACAAAACCAGCCATGCAGGCCAAGAAAATGTTAAAAAGTCGAGTGTATGTAATGTATAATAATTAAACTACGATGAAACAGTCACTACCGATTTGCTTTGGGCAGTCTCATTTGCAAAGTTTTCAATGCTACACCAAAAAAAATACCCCGCATTACATAATCAACTTAACCGGGCACAAGGTCGGAGGCACGAAAGTAACAATGGCCAAAAACACAATTTAAGAATGCATACCAAATAGGGCATTCACATCGCCATAATGCTTATTCAAGCATTTTTGTGTCTGTATTGACAAAAACAAAACCAGCCATGCAGGCCAAATTTTTTTAAAAAGTCGAGTGTATGTAATGTATAATAATTAAACTACGATGAAACAGTCACTACCGATTTGCTTTGGGCAGTCTCATTTGCAAAGTTTTCAATGCTACACCAAACAAAATACCCCGCATTACATAATCAACTTAACCGGGCACTAGGTCGGAGGCACGAAAGTAACAATGGCCAAAAACACAATTTAAGAATGCATACTAAATAGGGCATTTACATCGCCATAATGCTTATTCAAGCATTTTTGTGTATGTATTGACAAAACAAAACCAGCCATGCAGGCCAAGAAAATGTTAAAAAGTCGAGTGTATGTAATGTATAATAATTAAACTACAACGAAACAGTCACTACCGATTTGTTTTGGGCAGTCTCATTTGCATTGTTTTCAATGCTACACCAAAAAATACCCCACATTAAGTAATCAACTCAACCGGACACTAGGTCGGAGGCACGAAAGTAACAATGGCCAAAAGCACAATTTTGGTTTGTTTTCACGCAAACTTTCAGATTATCTTTAATTTTAAATCTAGCGATGAAGTCACTACCTTAGCACCATTTGTTCTCATCTAAACACTGTTACCATGTCCCTTTAAAAATAAAATACATGTATGTTCAAAAGCGTATCAAGTATTTTAGACTTTTAAAAAAATCCATATCAAGAACATGAAAACTCCTTGATAATAGAAAATATGAATGATTTGAATCAACATTTTATGCCTTTTAGAAAAACGTCACAAATATTTTCATAGACGCTAACGGCTTTCCATAATTGTTAAGTCCAACTTAGAGATAAGTTCAACTTAGGATCTTTGTGAAACACCCCCAGGATGTTTTTTTTTTAAACTAGGGGATGACGTCGTCTCATGCCAGAAAACAAATTTCCAGTAAGTTCCTACCAAAGCACGCGGGAAAGGAGAGGGATTGACACTGTTTCATATATAGTGATAATTTGATTTTGATTTGATTTGATTTGATTTGATTTATTGGTTTCTGCATCTTTTTTCTTTTTTTCATCATACATTTTCATGAACATAATATGGCTTGATACAATATTTCAAGTGTATATAATTTTTATACAGATAATAAACGATATTAAACACATATATTGAATTTAAACAAATATATTGAATGGAAATTAACATACATTAGATGCAGGAGGGCTACAGTAATAAGCAAAGTAGCTTGACGTGCCGGCAGCCCTCAACTTAGATACAACAATACAAATAAAAATAAAAAAGAGTGACTTGCAGAGAAGAAAAGGAAAGGGGAGAGAAGAAGGAGGAGGAGGAGCGTTGGTAATAATACAATAAATCTCATACAGCTGCTGATTGAATACAGGTTCATTCATGAATGGAAAAAAAACGATGCTAGGTCATGGACGATTACACATCATTGTCATCAGAAAGTATATACAGGCCTAAGATACATAGATATAGTCTATCTAGTCTAGACCATGATACCTCATTGCATAAATGTTAACTTATATATTTCCTTCCGACAGCTGTTTTTGCTCTAAAAAATATAGATATGAAGCTACTGAGAGCTACCGTACAGTACATTATTATCACTGCCGTAAGCATATATGCATCTAGCCCAATCAATATTCTACTATTCTAACCTTGGTTTATGGAGCACTTTGAACATTTGTTTTTACTGGTAGTGATTTTTTTAAAGGTAAAGACCAGTATTGGAAACGCCTCAATTTCAAAAAATGAAATGGAAGCTCTCATTACCAATCATGTGAAAGAATATGTTTTGACTAATACATGATGATAAAAAAATTGCAGGGAAACCGCCTACTAATTCATATATTTGGTAAATTTGTTTCTCTCATGGTCTGTGAGAGATATAGGGTAGTCCAATATACATCTTTCTGTGTATAGTGCTTGTAACTTTACGAAGAATGGGCCAAATTTCTTATCATTTTGATGATTCCAGAACCTTGCAGATGCTAGATGCTAGATGATCAACCTTTTCTGATCGATTCCACAACGTTTCTTTCACAATGCAATCGCATGACCATTAACAGCTGCACTGCTAAAGCCAGGGTAATTATGCTGCATTATTGTAGAGCGCTTAGAGACTTCTGACAAAGTAAGTGTTAGGCGCTATATAAGCACTGTAATTATTATTATTACTGGTCTTTACCTTTAAGTTAAAAAACATGGTATAAACATTTTACTGGTACGTACTCGAGCGTCATCACTAGTTCAAAGTCTGCTATATATTTACCGTCAAGGTTGATCGGCTACATACATGTAACAATAGGAAATATGAGTACTGCACCCATGAAATGACTATGTTTGTGTAGAATGGATTCGGCAATACGTTCGCATTAATACGTCATACGGTTTCGCGAGCGATGCCCTTTATCATTGTATATTTGAATCATGTCTAAGTGAGTCCACATCGGCAGAAACACAACTTACTCTCACTCAACACATACATGCGCACTCACGCACAACACACATCCACGATGCCTGCTGATCGAGTGAGGACATGCCCATCGATGTGCCGTCGCCCGCGGGTTCCGTGGCGTTGGATTGTCGTAGCCGCTACCTTCCTTACCTTCACGGTCCTGTTTGGTCTCCTAAACAGCTTTAATGTCCTCTTTGTAGCATTCCAGGAAGAATTCGACAGCAGTGCCACCATGACAGGTAAACTCTTTTGCATACGCCTGCATTAATTACCTCCCACTTTAAGTAATTTATTCTATGGTACATATATATATATATATATATAGTACTTCTACTTCTACGTCGGTACTTGACAGGATCCATCAGTCAGGATATTGAAATGTCTGGCAAGGTGCTCTTGTGCAGTGCAGTCAGTTGGTGTATTATGTACAAGGTGCAAGTAAAAACAATTCTCAGCCATCAATGGCGTTTCTGGAATAGGGCTCCCTGGAAGGTTTTTGCTGTTGCAGAAACCAAGATATCTGGAGGGAGCATGTACCATGCTGCAATATTAAAAGGACATCTATGTATAACCCTAAATGGTACATTAACAGGGCATCATACAAACTGTTATATTACCATTGCCCTAATGCTAACCCTAACTCTAACCATAAACTAAAAACAATATAACTAATTAAACTAATAACTAATGATTAAACATATAGGCCCGAATTCTCAAAGGAGGTTTGTCGACAAACCTTGGTTTTCGTACGTCATATGACGCGTTTTACGCGTTTTTTTACAAACCTGGTTTGTAAAGAACAAAAGGAGGTTTGGCGAAACAAAAGGAGGTTTGAGCTCAAACCTTGCTTTGTGAATTCGGGCCACTGTTTCTTGTGAGGCCCTTAAGTTTCCTCTGCCTTCAAACGTACGCAGAGGGCAGTAATTCTATTGTTAAATCGTTAACATGACACGAAAATGTCCTGCTAATGACCAAGTCTACTGAATGAATCATTAGGGACTTTTAGATTCGCACGAAGACAATAGGTCTATGCTACGATCGACGTCCTTTTAATGCGTTGCCTTGAATGGACGTCACACGTATCAGTCCACGCAAATCTAAAAGTCCCTATTTTTCACTACATAAGGCCGTCTATTGACGCTGTAAGATGTATATAAACTCTATATTAACCGCTAGATGGTATTGGCAAGTGGTATTAGGTAGGACAAGCCATAATGTTTGTCCTACCTAGCAACAATAAGTGTGTGCAATTCGCCTTATGACTATTAAAATGCAATTATTTGTAACAGGTGAATGACATAATATGTCACATGGCATGTAATGAACATTAATAAATTACATTTGTTTACATTACGCAAATGGTCTATTAACCGACATATTGACAAATCTTCAACCTACATTCATTAAATTTGGTTGTTGTGGGTAGGCGAGTTTTGAACTACGGCAAGCCGCATGCCTCAGTTGTATCCTAGCGAAATGCATTGAGATACATGTTTAAGTTAGAATTAAAACATTTCAACAACAAAAATTCCTTAACAGTTAAGGACTCACCCACCCCGCACCATATACTAGCAATGAGCCCATTATTTTCATTTTTTTTTGGAGGGGGGGGGGGGGGGGGGGTTAGTGGGGGGAATCGCTTATTTTCAATTCCAATTAAAATCAAAAGCATACACATAGATATCACATTATGGTAGTATATAAAAGTATAAATTGGGAAGATAGCAACACATTAACAAATACAATGCACATTTCCGGTAGAGGGTAATACAATACATTTTGACATAAGCAAAACAAACCTTGATAACGCATAAACAGTATATACATGATATTATTATTACCAAATAACTTTGCTACCGATGTTTAATCTGACTAGCATGATCTCATTTTGGTAATACATGTAAATATCTTCCCTTCAAAGTTCAATGTACCACATTCTGAAGTGGAAAGTATGATGAGGGGTCAATGTTCAATATTAAAGGGGTGCTGCCTGCATATCGAGAGTTTAGATACCTTATTATTCAAAGGTTACATTTGCATTTTGAAAATTATATATGTGCATTATTTATACGGTGTGTATATACACAAAAGTATATCTAACATTGCTTGCTTATGAATAACGAGTCATAATCATTGTAACCTTGACATCTATTTCATGGTAAAGAGTAGTTTGTTTCTGTCTAATGATATCCTAATCATATTTGTTCTGCCACGGATGACTGAGCAACCAAGATTTTTAAAGATTGCCGTCAGAATCTCCTTGTACCAAGTTGGTGAGGCCCTGATCATGCTTGTGTTACGTTGGACTCAAATCATTTTAAAAGTTCGATTCTGTAGTAGTAAAATTGCGGTTCAAGGGTTTAGGGTGCAAAATATATCCATTCAATATTGTTTAAATATTGCCTTCAGAGGCTTAATTAGCTGGCAATTCTTCAACTGAAAGTCGCAAAAAAAAGCAGAAATATATGCACAAATGTTCAAAGTTGAAGTGCATTCGCGATATCTATTCAGGCCGGATCGATATGTTAATTTACCAAATATACCAATTATAGTAGGCGGTTTCCCGGCAAAATTTGTATCATAACGTATTAATCAAAACATATTCTTTCACATGATTGGTAATAAGAGCTTCCATTTCATTTTTTGAGAGGGGAGCGTTTCCAAAACTGGTATATACCTTGAAATCATTTTAAAAGTTAAATTCTGCTATAATCTTCAGTGGTATATTCTTTAACGATATCTATGTGTATACGTTTTCACAGGGCCTTGGTGCAATCCACATATTGAGCACAGCATGGGGAGAGTTGGAGAGATTTGAATTGACAACTGGGAGAAAACTGTATTATATCTTTTGACCCAGGTTAGGGGAAAAGAACATAAAAGGGGGCAGAAATCCCCCCCAATAGCCTTTGGATTACTAAATATAAATTGGGTAAATGCGTTTGGGGGGGGGGGGAGAGAGAATTAGCAATGAGTACTTATCACTTATCTCCCAAAGGGTTGGTGGATATCATGTTCGTCATTGGTGGTTCAAACTTCAAAGAAATATAAAAATTGAGTTTGCAAAATAGATTGGGTATACCATAAGCTTACTCAACCGTTGTTAAAATACCTATAAGGGTAATATCTCATCGGTAAAATTACTTGGGCAATTAATTAGCCAACTGAAAATATAACCCAATTTACCACAGAGTTGGCGAAGAAAAATATCAATATTCATGATTTTTTTAAGAAATATATGGTTTTGGATTGGTTGATTTACCTACTAATCACCAAACACATTACTTATTTTTGGGTATTATAGCTTGTCTTTTATATAAACTGATGTATATCAGTATATACAGGACAGGTTAAGATAGCATACAAAAAGATCAGGTTAGGCAGGAAGATGTGAGTGAGTTAGGTTTGGTTAGGTTACTACAGTCAAACTTGCTTTAATGACCACCTGTCTACAAAGACTACCTGTCTACAAGGACCACATTTGTTGTTTCCCTTTAAAACGGTTTCTCATTGAAACATGTACTAAAGGAACCTGTCTTCAAAGGCCACCTGTCTACAAAGACCACTTTTTGTGTTTCCCTTGGGCGGTTGCTATAGACAGGTTTCACTGGAGTAGGTTAGGACTAACGAGGAGAATCCGCTTGTGCTCAACAACCACCCACAGGCTTAAGCCTAGGTCACAAATGCCATTACGAACTGCTACGAACTCCGTTCGAATGATTTCCAGACAATGGACAAACAGGGAGATTCATACGAACGCATCGTTCGTACGAACCTTTGTGACCGTAGCTTAATTCAATTATAATTTCATTGAAAGGGTATACCTATTGATATCGGGTATGCAACAATACTCGAGTTTCAGTGTCACGCTTAACGAACATCAACTATTTACAAAAACATATCACTATTGTTGTCCAATACCAATATACAGGCCTTCCATACAATGGACAGCGATGGAGGCTGTTTTTGAAATTCATACTCGTGCTATAAAGGTGAAAGATGTATGCCCTGCTTATAGCTTGGCGGCTGATTTTAGCCAGTCGACATGTGAACCGGTTTGAACTAGATTCAATTGCAGTGGCGGATCCAGGGGTGGGCCGAAACGGCCGCGGCCCCCCTATTGGCGGCGCAAAAAAATTGAGAAGGAAAAAAAAGGAAAAAAAAAAAAAAAAGGGGGGAAAAGGAGAAGATAAAAGAAAAGAGAAGAAAAAAGAAAAGAAAAGAGAGAGAGTTCAAACAAGAGGAAAGAAAAAGAAGAGAGCTAGGAGCCGGGGAGAAAGAAAGAAAACGAAATGGCACTAAAAATTAGTGACAGTAACGACGAATAAGGGAAAGACAAGGGGAAGGGGGGGGGGGCGTGAAGGCGGATGCATTGAGGGGAGGGGGGAGGGCTGACTGGCCGTATTCTTATTTTTAGGTTATGCGAAACTGAGTCGGAATTATGCTTCTTTTCAAAAAAATCTTAGCATGCTTGTTTATGTTAAGCCGTAGTGCATGAAAAGGTTAGAGTAGAAACACTCCTGAAAAGGCCGCGCCCGGCCGCGAATTTTTTTTCTTCCCAAACAGGTTTACCTATGAGAGTAAAATCCTGCCTCCTGATTGGTTCAGAGGTATACGCGTCATGAATATTCACGAGCTGAGTTCACAGCACTGTGGCTGAGCTGCAGTACCTAGTATATGTATTACGCATGCGCGTGGACTTCAGTTTTGCTGGCCATTTAGGTGTACAAAATGTATGTGAGCTAGCTGTGGTGCGAGGGGATTTTTATTGGGGGAAGGGGGGGGGGTCTGTTTGTTTTTGAACATTTCTGGTTATTCTGGTACTTGGTTTATATAGTTTTACACTGAAGATTTTTTTTCTCAAAGAGTTCACTTACAGTACACACACTAATATTCCAATTTCACACATAGGCTATACATACAAACACTATCTTTCTCTCTCTCTCTCTTTCTCTCTCTCGCTCTCTCTCTCTCTCTCTCTATAAACACACACACCCACCCACCCTCATGTATTTACAAACACATAAGCAACAAATGCACACACTAGCTGTCAAGAATACACAATAGACACACACAAGGGGTATGAATTATCTTATCAGGATGGTCCGACATGAGATGGTTGGATGTGGGTCAAAGCCACTGTGTTGCTCCGAGCATGATATCTTGACAAACATTTAATATTATCACCCGTAACTGAAACCAACACACAATTAATATCACGGTATTAGTCTCTTTTTTG